CATGGCGGTCTGGGGTCAAACAAGGGGTCCTGGCTGATGGATGAGTTTTGGAGGGAGGGACGTGGGAAGGGGAAGGGAGGGGAGGGGATTCGGTACGTTCCGGTGGAGCATCTCCACTGTTACCGCTGCGATAAGGCAAATGGCAAGGGCATCTGCGCTAAGCATCGTCATCCGTGCACCTAACGAAGGTTCTCCAAATGGTGACGTCGGCACTGTCTCCCTCTCTCTTTCTCTCTTTCTCTATCTATATCTTTCTCCCTCGCTCGATGCACCCTTCTCTGTCGCACCCACTCTATCTCTCAGTTATTTAACTGGGTCAGGGGCTAACAGCTCGTAGCCGTCGTTGTTGTCCTTAGAGTCGTTGACGTTTGTCGGTTGCGGTTTTTCCGCCGCCGTTTCCACACCTATTCGGAAAACCCCTTTTCATCCGCCGGAACTTTAAAGCGTCATACACACGACATAAAAGTAAATATTACAATATCAACCTAATCCCTTTTTAAAGGTTTGTAACAAAAGTTTCTACTAATAAAGCACCATTAAGGTTCCTTATTAAAAAAAACCTGATAGACAATATCTTATTTCATTTTGAAATATAAAAATGTAATATGTATAACTTTGATAGAATTATTTTGTATATTATATTTCGGTTATTAATATATTTATATGAAAATTATTTACTTCAAAGAATTAGAAATTTTCTTAGTCAATAAGTTATTAACCCAATGAGATTAAAACTATTTCTATCCTCAACACTTTGCTACTCTAAAGATTTGTTACCACCAATTTAATGGCTTGAAATACCTTTTAATATAAAACATTTGCAAATAATCTATCGTTTTTTATATGAAATGTATTTTAAGCTTTTTAAAATCATCCACAAATGTTTATTGTGCAGGTGTGAACGGGCTTGTTAGGACATGGCCTCCTCATCTTTGCCACATAATTGAATCGGCTGTGAGTAAGGCCACCGGCCAGGGAACTGCATTTGGTACAGTTTCCTTCCTGCGGACGCTGGTCTCCCTTTTTGTAGGATTATTTATATGCAGGCCACGCCTCCAACTGCCCGCCCCCGTGGCATTCATGTTCAGCTGAGCAGTCAGCGCCCCCCCTTCGCACTTATTAATAAACAAAAAAGCGAAGCGAAGGCAAAGGCGTCATTCTGGCGCGTCGTGCCGTGCATAAAAAACCGGACTAAAACGGATGCTTGGATGCCGAGACATAAATAAACTGCAGCTAATTTGAATGCAGCGACCTTGAGACGCAGCCAACGACAATTGCAACAATTTGCATTGTGGCCCGCAGGGCAAGGATATTCTTCTCGATGTCCTGAGATCGCTTCAGCCAGAGGTCAGAGCTCCAAACAAACCGTAATCCTTAAAAGGCCACTTGACCCACTAAAGTTCCAAGAGACACCTTGTCGAGATGACTGATGACTGATGAGGATAAGGGGATGAGGATGATGGGATGAGGCCTATATCCTTGGTCTAATCCTTTCAAGGGATGCCAAATGGGCGCGGGCTTAACCCAAATACTCGTATGTTTGCAAATAATGAAGCTTTTGTGTTGGCCCGCGTTGTCGATTGGCCTTCGAACGTTGCAAGAGCGCGGATGACGTCACAAGCAGAGCACTCACACATACACACACCCATATATATATACATGTAGAACCGATTTTGGTGGCATGCTGAATGTCACGCCCCGGACTTTCAGGTTAAATTTAGCCAAACGAGAGGCGACAGTCCATAATTGCCGGAGCAATGTAAAAATAAAATACCAAAATCAGCAGCACCAAATAGGCCGATAGCATTGGGCTTTTAGCATTTAAGAGGCTTACCGCACCACACGCGTCCCATTAGACCACAATTCTGAGCCACCCAACGACCACCACTGAACCACCGAACCACTGAAAAGTAGGCAACGAAAATGGGCCAAAGTGAACGACAAATGTTTATGGCCCAGTTGAAGTCAGAGGCCAACAAAAACACGGCTTGACAAATGAGCGGATGAAAATGGCAATTTTAATTGTTGGCGCTCTCGAGGGGCTTGGGGCGTTACATAGTTAAACGCTGAATGGGGAGCGGCAATGGGGAAAGATATCAACTTTGAGTGTTATGGATGAAATTTCCAATTGAAAACGGAAGAATGAAGAGCTGATATAATTACGGAAGCATTTCTTTTCAAAGAAATTTTAAAGGCTTTGCGGCTCATAAAATTGTTAGCAGATAATATCATAATAATAATATAATAGCAAATACTGCCTATAAAATTTGTAAAGCATTTAAGAATATATTTAAAGGATGTTGTAACACTAAAAGAATATTAAACAAGGATTAAATATATACACAAAATCCTTATGTTTAAGGAAACAACACAACTACTATCGAAAGTAAAATAAACGAAACTAAAATCTAAACAGTATCCTGCTCCAATTAGACAGCTCTTAAGTCACGCCCATTTGTCGGGTCAGTTAAAGGGATTATCAGAGTCAGACTCACACGCACGTAAATATCACGCACTCACACTCACACACACAGACACACAGAAACGCAACGGCATTTGTAAAAGCTGTGTGTGTATCCTTCAACTGCAGTTTAAATGCCAAATCAGCGTAAATTGTTCGTCTAGAGGGAGCTTTCCACTGAGGGGGGGGGGGGTAGGGGGATGGGCTGGTGTCCAAAGGACCTTTGGCTTCTGCAGAATTTGTCAAGCTGTTGTTGCTGTTTTCATTCTCCTGCTCGCTGTTGTTGCCTTTCGTAATGTCACTCGACGGCGACTGCAATGTCCTTGCAGCTTGAGTTCATTGGCCCAAAACGCCGAGCTGCAGCCTGCAGTTGCGCTCTCCTGCGAGAGATTTGTAACCAGAATTTAACGGTACAAGAGAGAAGTCTCTGTGGGAGAGAGAGGCTGAAAAGAGATGGGAGAAAGAGATAGGGAGAGAGATAACGAGATAGAGAGGGAAAGAAGGCCGGTTCAATGCACGGCAAGTAGGTTACAAAAAAGCAAAAAGGCCGGCCCTACAACAACCTCAGCTATGACGTCATTGTAAAAGCCGCACAAACACACACACACACACACACACACTCTCAAACAATTAGAAGGTGGGAAAAAGAGAAAGGGGAAAATGGAAGGCAATCTGCATTTGAGTGTGTGTGTGTGTGTGTTTGCTTGTGAAAAGGCGGCTTAATTTTCAGTTGAGAAAACAGAAATATGCCAACTTTTACTTTTAGACTTCGGGTCGGCCTACCCCAATTTTCCTGCACCCCTTGCCATTTCCCCACCCACTTTTCGAACCCTTTGGGTTACCCCTGCCCAAGTGTGAATGTGTGTCTTTGCAAGTGTGAATACACTCATCTATGTGAGTGAGTATATGAAATGGGCACAAGGGCATTTAATGCGGCATTTCTGCTGACAATTTTTTTTCCAACCAGGATCATACAATAGCGTAAGTGCACATAAATCGAAACAAAGGAACGCAAATAAATAAAGTTGTGCCAAGCAAATATGTAAATAAATAGGACCATCGGTCTATAAAAATTGTACATCTTTTGGGCGAACCAACTTATGATTAAATAAAAAGAAAAGCCTTAAATATATAAACTTTGAACCGTAAAGTTCATACAAAATGAACTTTAATTTCTAATGAAAAAATTAATCCCTTGGCAGTAAATTGCATTTTATATAAGTTTATTAATTTCCTAACTCATTTTTCCCGTGGAAATATTCAGAAAAAATAATAAAATTGAAGCACAAAATCAGGGAAAGTGTTCCAACTTTAATAACAATAATTGAGAAGTCAATAAATGGCTAGACACTCACCTAGACTCATTAGCATGTGATTCCAGATCGAAGAAAAAATACATATTAACAATAGAGGGGTTAAGGTAAAGGAAAACTAAGGGGACAAAAAAAGGAAGCCAGACAGTGCGGAACAGCCGGAGACCCAGACGCAGAGATACCAGGACATAACAATGGATGTGGCAGCAACGAGAAGCCACGGACAATAATGGGAATCAGACAAAAACATGTGCCATAACAATTCGTGTTCGCACCTCAGACTAACCTTTAACCCTGGGCTAGGAAAAGCCTTAATAAATAACCAAGCCAGTGTCCGCCTAATGGAATATGTAAAGGAATTTTCAAATAACCATAAGCCTGACAGGGAAAATTCCGCTCTGTCATGCGCTAATTATGAGCAGCCAACCTTTTGACGAGCCCCCCGAGTGGAAATTTTAGGCGAAGAAGCACGAAAGAGGGACTGCCAAAAAACACACCCAATGAATAGACACTTTTAAAATTTTGGTCCAATTAATACCCTATTAGTGTTTTTACCCAAATTCCAGGAATTAATTGCTTACGGTTGTAAAATATTAAATCCATGATAGACATTAAATGGTTGTAAATCACATGCTGTTTAATGTAACCTTTCAGCAGATTGTAAATCACATAAACAGTACTTTCATAAATTGGTTAAAACCCAATTTTAATTAGTCTTAATAGATCAATTATTTAAACTGAATATTGCTAAAATTCCATTGCTTTAGGTGATTTTTTCCCCACCACTTAAAATCATGCATACCCCTTGCCGAAGGAAAACCCATAAAAATGAACAAAAATATTCCATTTGCTTGAGGGAAAACAGGAGCCAACCGAAATAGCTTTACACCATTGAAAATCCTTGAAAGGCAAAAAAAGAAAAGCAAGCACCAAAATTGAACGGAAAAGTACAGCGTGAAATTTGCATGAGACAAATGTGGAAAAGTACTCACAACTACTCCGTGAATTGAGCAAAGGAAATGGAAAATAGGAAATGCCGAGTGAGATGCAAAGGAAAATTTATAGCCAAAGGCGAAAAGACCAAAGTTGAATAGTCAGCTTAATGGCAAACTGATACTTTATGATTGGACTTAATAGTCATTTTATTAAAAAAAATCAAATCGCAATATATTCCTTAAGACAATTCCTTAGTTTACAAAAAAAAGTTATCTCTTGCTTTGCATAAATATCAGTAAAAAATCCTCAGTTCATTTTATAAATTTCAATGTAAATGTAATCTTAAGTTAATTAGATTTTAATCCACAGTTTTGTTCTCTATCCCAGTTGAATCCACAGAATCATTCAGTTCCTTTGGGTAGTCCACGTTCTTCTCAAAAAGATAGCACTGCAGCCAGTTGGAGTCCTCCAAATTACCGGAGAAAACAGGCTGCCAATTCCAGATGAGATGATTTGCTTTTATATTAGGACTAACGAAGCGATTTTTGTTTAGACGACAGGCGTCCACGAATCGGCTGGCAAGGATTTGGGACAACTCGATTCCATGATGAGAATGTGCCAAGTAGCAGAGATCCTTTGCAGCAAAAAGCTGCTCAAAAGCAGCCCGCTCCGGATGAAACTGACAGCCGAAGATGGGAAAACGACGATGCTCGATAATCGTGATGAACTCCAGGCCTGTGGGATCCATCTGCGTGGCCAGAGGATGCCAATCGTTTGCCAAACCATACGACTTCAGGCTGTCTTTCGTGATACAATAGCGATGTTGGTGACAAGCAAAGGGATACTTCTCCATCTTCTCAGCCACGGAATCCGGAAGATTAAAAAAAGCTGGGACTCGCGAAAATTCTCGACTAGTCTCACCGGCATCGCTGTTTGCATACGCTGACAATTGGTTCGAATTTTGGGGTCTTCGGCGGCATGGATGAGGAGCAACTGGAAGCCGAGACAGGTGCCCCAAACCGGAAAGTATCCACGTGCATCATTCTCCTTTCTCGCCTGCTGATTCCGGCACATGGCCAGTTGGTAAATGTGCTCGGCACTCTGGACACAATCGCTGGTCAGATCCGGATAGGCTTGCCTATCAGCCGCCTCGATGGAAACTGCTCCTCCTGGCAACAAGATGCCATTCACCTGGTTCATCATCGAATCATAGTATGCTCGCTCTCGGCCGATCCTGCAAGAATAATAACAAACAAATAAGTTCTTAATTGCCATCATTAAAAATATTTTATTTTACAAAAACAATTTCCCCCTAATGGTTAAATATTTAGGTGTATGTTTATATGTGCAACGTAGATACCGTAGTTTATTTTAATAAAACGAAATCGAAAGTATAAGCGTTCACTGACCACAATCAAATGCAACTTAAATATGAGCACTTTCTCGCCTCATTCTTTAAACGCTATGCAAAACACTTGGAACAATGCCAAATGAGATAATTAATTCTCTTGGTTTGTTTATGCAATTTGTTTATCAGTTAGCCTTCATTTTTTGCGGTGGCCGAAAAAATGCTTCACGCGAATGAAAACGTGATTTCGTCAAATCGACGCACATAGTATAAATGCATAAAACGAATTTGGGTTACACATTCATGAATTAATTTTTGCCTTATCGTAAACTGACAACAACAACAATGAAAACTTACTATAAGTGTTTGGAATGAGTTTGGCTAATAAAAAGATATACGAATATAATTTACCTTAACCATCAAAGCATCCACATTATATGAAACATTTTTCTTTGTATGGATTATAATTAACCTTTGTGTTTTAAGGATAGGCACTTAATTTGTAAAAAATACTTTTAATTTGTAAAAGATACTTACCAAATGGGCACTACATGGGCCCCGGATGCCTCCAGAAATTTGACGTAGGAAGCGGCTATATAGCTGTAGTTCTTTTGACCAAAGTTCTTCTGCAAACTAGTAGCAATGTCGATGCACATCACGCCAATTGTTGGTATATTGTAGGATGATGGCCCACTGGGGCCTGCACTCTCCGCCATCGTCGGCTTCTGGCTTCCGACTATTTAGCCGTACGAAAGCTAACTGAACCTTAATAGTCCGAATAGACTGCATCCGCAACTGGCAGTCTTTCTATGCGAAAGAAAGGGGAAAAATCAACATTTTTATCAAGGTAGGTGGCCTACTTTTCGGGATGTTGCGATTAAAAATCATTCATTGTACATATCTGGTAAAAGTAAATTTACAAAGCACTACCAAGATTTCAGAGCAGAGTAACTATGGGTAAAATATTTACCGCATATTTGTTTAAAATACTTACATAGATGTGAAAGAAAAACAAAGCACTTATATAAAACTCATTTGATGTTTTATTTTATTATAATTTTATTATCAGAACAAAATCTTTATGACTGTTTATTAATATCGCTTATCCTAAGGCAAGAAGTCAAAACTTATACTTAAGCAAGTTTTCGTAAAAGAGGTAGCAAATTTTATCAACAATTTTTAAGTCTTTTTCGTACACTACATGACAAATTCTCAAAAGGGAAAGTTTTTTATCATTACTTTCCCAAAAATGACACAAAGGCTTATGTAGATAAAGGCACTTATCAAATAATTCCCTACTGCAATAATTCCTTATGTGCAATATATTTACCAGAAGTGTCACCCATGGCGACATAGACAATCTCGTTTAATGCTTTGCGTAAATACATAATTAAAGCTGGTTGTTTGAACAACAATTATAATGCCATGTTCGAAAAACTTTAAAACTTAATTCTGTACGTACATTTAAAATCTCACTTCAAAATATTAAATACAATGCCTACTTAAACGGTAAATCAATTGACTAAAACAGCATATTAATTGACACAATCAAAAAGGAAGGGATTAAAAAGCTAAAGATCGGATTAATGGTTGAGCTGCCATCTCCAGGTACAATAATTGGAATATAACCGCCACTGTTGCCTCCCTCACCATCTCCGTCATCACCACCTTCATCTGGAATATCTGGGATTTCCATTTCGTCATTGGTAAACAAATATTGCTGGATGTAAGAGGAGCCCAAAATCGAAGTATACTCGGGCTTGTAGTTGTAGATTAGTGTCCTTGCTTGCTCTGTGGCATTGGTGAAGCTTTGATTGCTTTTCCTAGCCTCGTTCACAAAGAAATCGGCAAAGAATTGCCCACTCAACACAGCAGCTTCGGTGTGAGGAATGCTTGTTTTAGTGAACTCGTACAATGGCTTCTCCGGATGAAACTGTACTCCATAGAAGGGGTACTTTATGTGCTCCATGGTCGAAATAAACTCGTTGCCATCCCAATCATGATTCAAGGAGATCACTCGCCAAGTCTCGTTCAGAAGATCTCTTTCGAAGTCCTTTTCCGTATAGCAATACTGATGCCAGTGATAAGTCACATTTTCCTTGATCATAGCAGCCACCACATCATCACTAATGGAGGCAAACAGTCTGCTCTTGTTGAAGTCTTCAAGGATAAAATCATTTAGTACTTTGATTTCAGGTACTTAAGGTTATATTTTCTTTAAATACCTTCTTTAAATTCCATTGGCAGTGCGATTCCCTTTCCTTGGCAGCTAATCCGATGTTCAGTGCCATTGGCCAGCTTGTAAACCATCAGTTCCATGCCGAGACAAGTGCCCCAAACCGGCATGAAGATTCCTTGATCGTTTTGTTCAATAGCCAGCTGGATGAGGTGCTCGCCGGCATCGGCATACCCATTGGTTTGGTTGAACCATGTGGCTCCACCAGGCAGCAAAACACTGTCAAAACATCAATAAATTTTTCATTTGGAATATTACTTGAAGAAATATTTATACTTACCCATTTATCTTGTGCATGAGATCTTCGTAGTAGCTGCGATTCCGTCCGATCCTGTCAAGGGATCATGAAAATTATTTATTAATTGATTTCAAGCAATCTAATCGACACTATACAATTTTAGACACCAATTTCTATTTTCTCTTTTATAAATTTATTGCTTTAAATACACGTGTCTGAATACTTAACGTCACCCCCTCAGTCTTATCATCGTTTTTTAACAATCTCCCGACAGACATATACGTTTTTCCTACTTACCAGATCGGCACAACACGGGCACCAGCTCCTTCCAGATACTTCACATACGAGGCGGCTATATAGCTGGTCTTGTTATCGAAATGACGCGAAATCAATCCATCAGTGTAAACCTCCTGGGTGAGAACCCCAATAATGGGTGAAGAGATGGCCGCAGCAGAAGTCAGCAGAAAGCCAACGAAGATCAGCAGGCTTTTTGACAGTTTTTCCATGATTCTATGCCTTTAGTTCTTATCCACAGTTTTAGTGGAATTACTTAAAATATTGGCAATTAGAGCTCCCTTTAAAAATATGTCCTTAGTTCTCTTAAATGGTTTTAGGAACTCTAAGGTTTTACGAATACCTTATTTACAGTTATTGATTATTTCAGACCTATTTCTGTTGAGGTAGGCTAATTCAAAGAAGTGAGTTTTTTTTTGTACAAGGGTTTCCTGAGTATGGCTGCAGGTATTCAAGATATTTCCGGCGTCCAGAAGAATTTCCCGAATAGAAAACTTGGATATTCCACAAGTGAACCCGACCACTGCCACCGGTTAATAAGAACTGTCCGCTGCAGCGGCGAGCGATTCAAATTTATACAACATGCGCCGATTTTCCGCCGTTGCTTCGGTTTTTGCGCTGTGTGAGTGGGCATGAGTTGACTATTTGGTAATGTATTTGCTTCTAGGTTCTTCACTGGGTCTCCCCCTTGGCGACTTAAGTCCAACAGATAGTGCCGCGATTAATTGATTGCTACGTATATTTGCAAGTTATGACCGTTACACAGGGTGTTCTATGAAAAAGGGGAAACACCACTAGGTCTTCCATTAACAGCTGGATAAAAACCTGTTTTATTCGACCACTTAATGATTATTAACTTATTACCTCGACCATAGCCGTTGGTTCGCGATTTTTATTCACATTATAAAACAAACGAAATTGGTGTTTTTGTTTACTTAACAGCTGATAGCAACAGGTGAATGTGTGTGTGTGTGTGCGATCAAAGCCGATTGTCTGATCGATTAAAGCTTTCAGCTGCCCAACAAACTTTGCTGCTTCTGTTTGATACTCTTCTGAATACTCAGAAGGTACTTCATCTCCACTAGAGTTCCTTTGACTCCTTGAAGATCTTTGGCTTCGAAGAGGGTGTTTAATTTTTGTGACATTGCCTCTAGTTCTTTGATTAGTTGACTATTCAGGTTTTCTAAAGTTTGGTTATCATCCGCATCCTCGACCTCCTCATTCCGTTCCATCATGGCCATTAGAAATTCCTTGTTTAAAGCACTGTTATCCTGGGGCATCTGTTCTCCTTCAAGTTGAAGCAGGTACTGACCACGTTCTATGGGAGTGGAAAGGGTCTTATAAGCCTTGTTGATCAGGGAACTCCAATCCGCAGAGTTACTTTGCTCGCGGGAGGTTCTGCAAATTCAAATATCTTAAAAACAGTTAAATTAATTTTTTATAACTACATTACTTGTTACTATATTTGTCTGGGTGCACAATGGTTTGCAACTGACGAAAACTTTTCGTTAATTTCTGGGACTCCAAAGAAAACTGGGTGGGAAAGCTCAACAATTTGAAGTAATTCTACAAAAATATAGCGTTAAGTAGTTGAAATAAAATCAAGATGTATACTCACTATTTCTGCATTTACATCCTGCAAGTGTCCACAGTCTGAGCATATCATATTTTGCCTTAATTCCGATTTATTTTGGCAATTCCAACAAGCCGGTGAAGCTTGTGCTGCAAATTGGCGCACTTCAGGCAATCGAAATCGGTCAAAGTTTACAATACCATTTCTAGAAAGTGGTGTGTAATTGTTTGCCCTTACAGCACTCTTAAGGGCATTAATCACTCCCCGCATTATTTTGCACAAATTTTAACTACTGGCATCCAATCGAAAGATTTTGAAATTACACAAGCTGACAATAACAAAGAACAGCTGTTAAACAGCTTGTGTGGCAACGCTTCTTGAATAGGGTTGTATAGTAACTATATTATTATAGCTTTAGAATTTTCTTTTAATAAACATTATTTTAAATTTAAAGAAACTATAAAATAAAAATAGCAAAACAGTTCGACACAGAAAAAGAAGCAAAACAAAAATGCAACCATTATATGTATTGCGAATATGAGTGTAAATAATAATATCTTTGGCCTAAAAACTTTTGCCTTTTCTTATTAAAACACGAAATTTTTGTAAATATGTATAAATTTATTCCAACATGTGGCTTACAAACTAGATTTCAGGTGTCATATCCTTGGCTTACATGGAGTCCTTGCGATAAGCGCGATAGCTGTTCATCTCGTTGGGAAAGGTTTTGAACAATTCCAGCAGCAGATTTGACTTGAACTTCTTTAGGCTCTCGATCTTGCCCTTGACCTCCTCGTTTTTGGCCAGTGCCTTCTCCACACAATCCTTGGTGTACAGCTGCGGATTCTTGTCCTGATCAATGTAGTCGAAAAACACTTCGAAAGGAACATAGACATCCTGCACCTGGGAACGCAGCTTATCAATCTCCTGCAGGCCGGTTACCAAGCTGTTGCTATAGGTAGATAAGGTTTATATTAACTTAGTTTCAATGTTAGCATATATCATTTATTTTTACATCTTCTGGTTGAGTACGTTCTGCCCCTGTGGCTGAAAATCGCTGACGATGATACGGATCTGCCTAACGTTTTCGATGAACATCTCCAGTTGGGTCTCCAGGTTTTCCAGTGGAGCAGACATTTTGAAAGAATTTTAATCACTTCTTTTTCCTGGCTGATGTTGTTATTGTTTGCTTTCCTGCGGAGATTTTATATTTTTCTTAGCAGTTTCTTCTTCTTCTAGATAGCTCCCTGCGACTAGGGCTGCTAGAACGCGTTTGTGAGTTTTGGGACTTATCGATAGATTCCGTATAGAAAGGTCACACTGATTTACTGCACACCTTCTGGCTGAAAAGTGCGTGATTTAATATTTCGAGTTGCAAGAACACAAAGATTTCTTAATTTACTGCCATATACTACCTACAATTAAAACCACAGCATGTCTGATGGAGATTTGGATGCCTTACGTGCCCAGCGCATGGCCCAAATGCAGTCGCAATTTGTAAGTGAAATATTTAAGTGGGCTCCAAACCGGCTAGATTCCTCTAGAGATTTCCAAAAATAGAAATAACTTGGAGCACCTTTTTATGCATAAACATACAAAAACCAATGAACCCGACCATAAAACTACACAAACTAGGATTATGTATCCTTTATTTGTTTAAGCCCTTTTAACGGCTTTAAACACTATGAGTCATCCTTGTGTGTTTGGGACACCTGTTTCTGTGAAACCACATCCTTTAATGACCTTTCGCCTGTTTCTTTATTTTAGGGCGGCGGCGGTGGCAATGATGCGGAAAAACAAAAAGCCCAGCAGGAGCAGATGCGCGCACAGGAAGAGATGAAGCATTCGATATTATCTCAAGTTCTGGATCAGCAGGCCAGAGCACGACGTAAGTGCATTGAACCTTTTCTTATAGTAAAACCCTTACATCACTTTAAATGCCTTACAGTGAACACCCTCAAAGTAAGCAAGCCTGAGAAGGCGCAAATGTTCGAGAACATGGTCATCCGTATGGCTCAAATGGGTCAGGTGCGCGGAAAACTCGACGACGCCCAATTTGTGAGCATCCTTGAAAGCGTCAATGCTCAGATGCCACAGAGCAAGTCCTCCGTAAAGTATGATCGGCGTCGAGCGGCCATTGACAGCGATGATGACGAGGATTACGGCTGCTGATCCGGCCAAAGTTTCCCGCCCAAGTCCTTATTTAAGTTTTCTCCCGCTCTTTGCATCCGCTAAATCATGTTTATTACTTTTACTAACTTAAAACGAAAAAAAAAGAACCAAACTCACGATTGTGAATTGATTCCTTTGTGTCAAATGGCGATTCCTAAAGCGGATTGGAAGTTCTCGCTTAGCGGAGATGAGATACCTTGACATAGGACTAGATTTGGCTTACATATATATGCGGTAGAAAAGTTGATCTATGGGATACGACTTCTTGTGGGGCTTTCCTAATTTGTATTCCTTTTGGTTTGTTTTCTTTTTTCTGGTGATCTTGTACGGAACTCAATCTTTTGATCAATCAAAATTTGTTTTGAAATCACCGTAATTACCTTTTTATAGTAATTTCTCCAAGTAACTATCTTCCTCTTCTTTCTGTAATTGATCCTCTTACTCCTTCTTTTCGTGGTCTTCATCGGAATCCTCTTCGGTGACCAAACAATCGCCACAGAAAATGGAATACATAATGAGCGAAAGGAATCCCAGCGGTAGGCCAAAAATAACAGTGGTCAGCACGGGATTTCCCAGCCACATATCCTTTAAGGCTCTTCGCACCTCAAACAGTGCCCGATTTAAACGCACGAAATACGTATCGCCTCCATAGGCAACCGCACTTTCGTTGCTGATGGATTCCAGAAAAAGATGGAGAGCTTGTGGGGTCATTTGCATAGGATCATCTTCGGGTATAAAGTGGTGTTGAGTACTCGAATTTATCGCAATTAAATGCGGCGTAGGCAGTTGGTCTAGAATAATGGAATGTGCTATAGATGGCTCACCGATCTGAAAGGAAGAATTGTTGATAAGTACTCAGTAAACTATACAATTATATCTCCTACCCATCCGAACTGGAACTTCTCATGATATCGCGCCCTGTGTTTCCTAATAACGCCTTCAACCATGTCACGGAATTCCAACTCATGAGTGGCTATCTGATTGAGCTTATCCTCCTGCACCACAGCCAAAACCAAGTATTTGTTTGTCCTCAACAGCTGATGAATATTGAATCGGGTGACCTTCGGGAAGAGAGTGAACCTCTCTACGTTCACCCACTGGAAAACTGTCTCATTGACTTCATTGGGGTCCATTTCGTGGGCCAGATGTCCATGGGGATAGAAGTGATGCTGTTCCTCCTTGTAGACTATAACCGCTGGCAGTTTCTCAAAGTCAAAGTGCTGGGCAGCGATATCCTCGCTGGTGGCATAGAAGAATCCATGCTCCTGATATCCTTCTGCCGCTGCATAGTACGTATCCCACACCACGCCTTCCTGCTGACCCACGAAAATAAAGAAGATCGTGTGGGATCCCTTGAGCATGTCCACACTCTCCGTTCGCGTGACTAGCTGAACAGGAGGACCAGACATCCTCAATGCATAGTCGACCAACTCGTCGCGTCCACGATCGCCATTGTAGGTAAACTCCATGTTGCCCTTAATGAACATGATAGTGGGGTAGCCTCGAACCTATAAGATTTGGTATATGTATTTATTTTGAATACATGATGTTTTTCATTTGGTCAAAGACATATTACTCCTACCTTAAACTCCTTGGCAGCGGCGGGATACTTGGTGCAATCCAGGCGACCCACCCGCACATTAGTGGCATGCAGTGCCTGAGCCACCAGAGCGAATATGGGCTCCGTTTTCTTACAGTAGCCGCACCACGGTGCATAAAACATGACTAGCCACTGGCCCTCGTGTCGAACATCAATGAACCTGTCACTGAGCTCGAGTACCCTCGAGGAAATGGCCGTCGAACCCAAGGTCACAAGGAGAGCTGTTAATTATGCACATCATTAACTATTTGCTTTTGTGTTTATTCTGTTTTTTTTCTGTTTATTTATTTACCACTTAGGAGGCCGAAGGTCCACAGAGATTTTGGCGACATCTTTGCAGAGCTGTATTTTGTACTTCTAAGTGTGATTTTCTCAATCCTCTTAGTGCTATATCATAATTTATGATTTTTATTGGTTTTAAAACTTAATTTAATTAGCTGATTGGTTTAATTTTCAGCTGAAAATTATTTTCTTTTGGGAAGCAGCAACAACAAGAAAAACATCTGAGAAAACCACCCCCGCCGATTTTAGAGTGACCGATATCAGATGGACCAATAATACTTAGTGCAAAAGATTCTTAGCCCACTTAATAATATGTTACAGCCCATTACAGATATCACAAATAGTTCAATGCAATAAATTTTGGCGGTTCTTTGTATATTATATTATTGAAAATATATATTTTTGTGTGAAACATTTTGGAACTCTTGTGCAGCACCATAAGGGTTAAGCTAGTATATTTTCTACCAAATGGCAACTCCCGCGGTTTGTTTACCTCATGTTGCAGACTATCTGGCACCTCTTCGCCACACACGTGCAGCTCCGGAGGAATTTTGTTTCGTTTTCAATTCTTATTTTTACACGATTTAATAATTGTTACAATAAAGTGCAATGACCAATAATGCGAAGAAGGAACCCCAGGGAGGGGGCAAGCAGCAGTTGCACAATGTTCGCTTCTACACGATAAAACCGCGTGGTATTGTTAGTCTGGCCTACAGTAAAGCGAGCAAGTGCCTCGCTTTAAGTCGGTAAAATATAAAAATCTTTATGAATAACCATTAATAGCTTTCCAAATTTCTAATCAGTACATTTCTTTTAGCGAATCCCCTGTCATTGAGTTGTGGAATCTGGAGCACACTCCCTATTTGGATAGCGTTATCCATCTGCCTCCCGATTCTCCAGCGGAATCTTTGGCTTGGGCGGGAAGTCGTCTGTTTTCCGTAAACCTTACCGGTGTCCTCACAGAGTGGGATGTGATTAACCTTAAACCACGTTATGAACACTCACCCACTGGAAATGCCCTCTGGAGTTTGGATGTAAACCCTGCAGAAACGGAAATTGCTGTGGGTTCCGAGGAGGGTCATATCAACATCCTGAGCATCGAGAATGACGAAATTACCTACAAGACCCTTTTTAACAAACAAAAAGGTCGTGTTCTCTGCATAAAGTTTGATAAGACAGGAACAAAACTGGTGACCGGCACCGAAGGATGTGTTCGCATCTGGAATGCCCTCAAGGGAACCATTCTCCACACAATGACTCTATCGGATAAGGACGTAATCGTTTGGTCCCTGCAGGTCCTATCGGATAACACAATTATTGCTGGCGATTCAGCAGGATTCATTACCGTTTGGAATGCAGAAAATGCCACGCAGATCGATTGCACGCGAGTTTTGGACAAAAATGTGTTTGCTTTGGCAGTAAATGAGAAGGAGGATCGATTGGTTTGCAGTGGAATGCAGCCTCCTCTCATTCGGATTTTTAGTAAAACCAAGATAAAGCGTGAGGAGTCGACCAGCGAACGTTGGATCAAGTTTTTGCAACGCGATGCACACAAACACTATGTTAAATCACTGGTGGTGATAGATGGACAGATTTTTTCTGGAGGATTGGATGGCATATTGACTATAACCTCCAGCGAAAGGATGCAGGCTCATCTGTCGCAGCATGCACCCTTCCTTAAGGGATCTGTAGCTTCATTGGCTATTAGTGAAAAACTTTTGCTTCTACGATATCCCAACAGTCTACATCTTTGGCGCTTGGGTTCTGTGTTTCCTCAGGACGAGGAAAAGAAGAAGCCTTGGGAACAGCCACTTGGACACTCGGAAGAACTCCTTTTGGAACAACCTCCCCAGAAACTCCTTCAGATGAATGTCAAAGATAAAAACTTTATACAGGCTGCAGCAATTTCACCCGATGCAAACTGGATTTGTTACTCTACCTTGAAGGAGCTCCGTCTTAATCGTTTGAAGAGAGATCCCTTGAAAGTAGATCGTCTGGCGGACAATCTGCCCGAGGAACTTAAGCCGGCCAGCCACATAATCTTTACAAAGCAAGGACGCCTTGCGTTGCTGCATCCCCAAAGCAATGTCCTAAGTTGGTTTAGTTTGAAAGAGGATCGGGTTATCTTTCAAGCTGACACTGATCTAAGTGATCATTGCAAGGGTACCATTAACCATCTAGTGGTTTCTTTAGACGGTGATTACATCGTGGCTGGAACAGCTAACAAGTTAATATCGGTTTGGAAACTGCACGGCAAAAAGTACAAGCATCTGCTGAATTTACCAAGACATCGAGCAGGAACCACCGCCCTATCCTTGCACGAGGATCATCCACGCGTGGTGGTTGCCTATGCCAATGGTCAGATAGTGGAGTACGACCTGGTCAACCGGAACTTTACCTGTGAAACTGATGAGTACCTGATACCGGACACCAGGCACCACTGCATTAGTGGAATCAGCTTGGATCCGAGGAACCCAAACATTTTTATAGTTCACACCGAAACCAATTTATATGTGCTGGAGCGAAATCAGCATCTAGAGTCGAGGGAGCATGTGATCAATAGCAAGTCAAAGAAGTTGTCGAATGGACATCGATCCTTGGTTGATATCAATCCAAAGGGTTTGAGCCTTAAGACCCAGTTGCCACGACAGGTAAGATAAAGAAATCCTACTCTAAGGTTTTTTCTAGAGATTTTTAAAAATGTTTAAGATCTTTGCTGCAATTTATAATATTTTAGATTGCAAATTAACAGTAAAGCAAATACTTATTGTAATCAATAAATGTCCATGCAGCTTAAAAGTATATAGTTAGCAGACTAAACTACGGCAATATGCACAAAAGTCTTTACCCATTTTGAAAGCTGCACTAAATCCCAAATTTCGCCCATTATTTGCGAACATTTTCTCACCTCTATTTTCTCTCTTTGCAGCACCTGGTACACGTGTCTCGCCTGAGCTCTAACGAACTTGTCAACGTCAGCATTTCGACAAACAATCTGTTGGCTCCGCTGCCGCGGCCGTACCAGCGGAAGAAGTTTGGTGCCTCGTAAACGGAGCGCAGCAGGATAAAGTGACGTGGAGTAAGGGGTCTCCACTTTGGGTTTACCCAGTAGTTTCCACTTAGTTACCAAATAAAATCAAAAGAAGAAAACAATGGTGGAATGGATTTTTGTTGAAGGCTTGCACGGCTCGCACTCTGCATTCGCACGAAAATTTGTCAAATGTATTGCCAAAAATTTGTCTCCGCCGTCTCGTCGAGCGACGACGTCGACGACGACGACAATGTCTCCTGTGCCCATTCCCCTGATTTTTTTCATTGGGGGGCTACGTGGATTGTGCAACATTTCGTTTCGTTTTGTGTCGCCGGCATTTACTGTAATTGTTGTTGCTGTTATTTTTTGGTTTTACACTGTCTAGCCAATGTCTAGACAAGTGCATACCACACAGACAGTCGAAAACACACGCACACGCAGCCGTTGGGCGAGGGGTTTCGGGCTTTTCGGGGCGTCCTGGGCGGGGACGTCGATGCACAATTCAACTTTTAGCTCAAAAACTCATTGGCCGGCTGGGTCGGCAGTCGCCCCACCATTGTGGCTGGATTGCTGCATGGGTGGGTGTGCTCTGATTCTCGGCAAAAAAAAAAAGTCCGAGTATCCCGCAGCCATATTCCAATGCCAGGAGAGGCTTCTGCTCCGGCTGGGTCATGACCACTTTGGGATCAGAAAGGTGATTAAAACTTTGCAATTGCAGTGCAGAGTAGAGTCTCGCATCTGATGGAATGTTGCAGTGTCGAAATTTAAACGAATGAAAAGTATTAAACAGGAACTTAGTTAAAAATCGCTTGATGGTAGTTAAAAATGATTAAACTTATTACTGAATTAATTATTTCTCAAAATTTCTTTAATGACAAATTCGTATGCTTTTTTGCTTACAAATATTATAGAATTAATTGTATATACAGTGTATATTATACACATACTTTTTATTTAAACATATACTCGTTTTTATTTTATACGACACTACATTTTTATATAAAAAATATAAATTATGAATTAGGGCATTTAAAACTCGGTTAATTTCTGGTTCATGTTTTCCATCTTGCTATGTGCATTGCAACGTGCAATTTTTTCAGCTTGTTTTTTTCCTCTTGGCATAACATTTTTTGACCAGGATGGAAAAGCCCTTTCCGTAACATTTCCCGATTCTGACCATAACCGAGCGACCGGTTGACTGCGGTTGTGGGGGCGTGTCATTTTCATGGGGCGACAGTTTTCGCATAGCAAAGCGAGTGGCGAACAGACATGAATAATGAGTGAATCGAGTGAAATATTCAAACTAAGCATACAAACTATAAATGCGCACATAACGCATACGCAACGTATGCCAATTTGGCAGAAAAACCCCAAACCCCAAAGCTCCACCCTTGGGCGCTTTTGTCGGCATTAAAACTCACTTAGCCGTTGAAAGGCGGTGAACGAAAAAGAAGAAAGGAGTTTTGGGGGAAAAAGTTATGCAAACTACGCAATGCTATGAAACTACGGAGAAAAGTCGGGCTGCAGTCGCAGGAAGAAGTCTTGAGAGTCTGCCAAAGAAGTCTAGACAGGCAATGGGGGAAACTTTGGCGGTGGCGAAAAAAAGTTTTTCCACATCGGGGGTAAACTACATAGAAGGTGTAGTGGCGTACAAGAGGTTAAGGAACAATGCCTCAAATTGACATTTAATTGGTTTGCAAATTAGCCAAGAAGCGGAGCAACAAACGAAGCAAGCAATGTTCGCATGGGAATTTGCACCTCAATTGCAATGTTCACTCCCGCAAACTCAGGGATGCAAAGCGATGTTACGCGACAAAGCTAAAATAATCCGATTTCCACACTTTAAAATATTGTTTAAGAGAAAACATTTATCGGAAAATAGTTTCAGTTTAAAAGAAACACTTTGTAAAATATACAAACATTTGTTTCATAATATAATAGTTGAAAGAAAAAAAGAATTGAAATTTACTAGACATTAGTTTATGCTTAGTTCGGAAAAATTGATATTCTTTCGATCAGGATTTCTGATAAGTATTCAAAAATCTTGTTAAAAATCAATTTGAATGCATTTTTTTAAATCCCTATTGAAATGATCACATCACTTGCCAACAATCCAATTGATAAAGGATATAATAAAAAAAGAATCAGTTGATTAGATCACCGATTATTTTTCCTTTTGGGCTTTATTCCAACTGATTTATTAATTTTTTGTAAATTGTTTTACCCTTTTAATTCCGGTTGTACCCCTGTAATTTTAGCATGAAACACCAACCGATTCGAGGTGCTAATAAACAAGGACTTTTGCGGGCTAAATTACAGCCGCTAATGAATGAAACAGGATAAAGCTTAATTTGCATTTAATAATATTAACGCGTGGGAGTTTCCAAGGGGTGCTAATTGGGGAACGGGTGGCCAAGGGGGTAAATGCTCGCATCAGCATAAATCGCATGCGGTTGTCATGGCGCTGGAGGGAGGGCAACCAACTCAAGTCTAGACAGGGATCCATGGGATGCAACAGCAACCGACCGACCAGAGGACAATGTAAGGACAAACGTGTCCTGTCTGTCTGGCAGTCGTCGGGGCTTTTAAACGGGGCAGGGAACACAAGGGGTAACTGCGCTCTTGTCTGAGGCATCGTAACTTTTGGCTCAACACAAAACTTGATTGAATTTTATGCTCGCCAACTACAATGAACGAGAGGCAATGGAGGAAAGCCAGCACTTAATTGGTCTGAAAAGAAAACTCTTTGGGAAGCCGCAACAAAAACACTGTATTAATGAAAGTGCAGCTGTGCAGGTGATGACCACCACGCTGAAAGGTCAACTGGGAGTTGGCGAACTCAAGTGGCAGCTGGTTCATAAAAATCCCTTTTATGACCAAATTTGGAGTATCAAACGTTTTTATTTCATTTTTTCTCGTCTATTTTTGGGAAGGATTTTCATTTATTGACACCCAACACACTTGACAAAAATCATTTTTAGAGGTGATAAAATCTAAAAGGTTTAAAAATGGGTACTTGGATTTAATATGTTGTATTTCTATTTCTACCATTTAATCAAAAAATTAAAGTTTTTTTAATCAAACGTAATCAACAGATTAAATTCTTTTCACTAAAAAAAAATGGTATATCTTAAAAAAAAATCCTAAATGTTTTACAAATTTAAATTCTTGTGCTTCAACATCATGCACAATAAAAAATATTATTATTGTATTTCATTGCCTTGTCAATTTTGGGAATATATTTTTAGTGCACCAGAAAAGACAGGAAAACGTTCATTGAATTTTGTCCTTCGCTGGGCTGCCAAAGGACAAATGCACAATAAAGAGAGATACATTGAACGGGGAGTGCACAAGGAGCAAATAAGGAGTAGTGAGGAACTTAGTTGAGCTTCCATTCGCCCACACAAACACCAACAATTTGATATGCCTGACGCTTCCTGGCTCGTCTGGAGCAAGTTTTGCAGTTTCATTGCACTCGTCGGCGAGTCAAGTCGAGTGCAATGTCATCCCGCACATCCCGGGGGCCACCCACCACCCATCGCCCACCGCCCACCAGTCGGCGCCATTCCTCTGGAAAATCCAGCCAGGAGTCAACTTGTCAGCCAACTACAATTTACGAGCATTTCACTTCGTTTGCTTCGATTTTCATTGCATACTTTTTGGGGCGGCAAATGAAGAGAGTTGAGCTTGCAACGCCCGAGTATTTTCCCTCGATTTTGTCGGTGTCGGAGAGTCCTTGGAAATTGCATTTCATTTCCCGCTGGATTTAGCTTAAGACTTAAAGTGTTCCCCCATGAATTTCAGATTGCGTCTCTGTTAAATCGAGTAACTTAACAGTTCTCTGCGGGATTCAACACTGTTACTTTTGCTAGTCAACTTAATTGCTGTTACTGGGTTTGTTGTTGCCCTTATTGTTGTTGTTGTTGTTGTTGTTGGCTTTGTTTCCAGATTTATGCATAATGTGACTAACATCATAATCTTCATAATGACGTTAGTCAAGTTTTTGCTGCCCTCGTTGCGGCTTTTGTGGATGTGGTATTTCTGCGGTTTACAGATTTAATGAGGGAGAACATAATAAAATGTTGACCTGAACCGACTTTGCGTTGCTCTTCAGGTAAAATGAATATATAATCGGTAATAATATATTGTTTTTAATCGGTAATAAAATATTTTTTCTATTAATTGCTGTTAAGATTTACATTACTATGCAAACGTGAACTTAAATTTTTAATTAAAAAGTCAAATAAAAGGTTTTGTTTGAACCTTTAACATTTGTAGCAAAATTTGTATTTTAAAACACTTTTTGTAAATATTATAATTAACAATAATTAATTAAAAACATAAAAACCAAGGACTAAAAAATAATACATGCCCCGGGTGAGGCTCGAACTCACGACCTTAAGATTATGAGACTTACGCGCTGCCAACTGCGCCACCGAGGCCCTGGATATCTCCAGTTCCAAACCGGGAGTGATAAGATGCTTAAACATCCCTGCTAGGATCTAATATTGGATGCGTTTCGGGAGAGATTTGTGATAAGAAATCCAAGAATAAGCAATAAGATTTAAATCATGTTTTCGAGCAAACATAAAGTACAGGGTGTTTCATGTAAAAATGGGCATATTAAAACAGAACCACAGACACCGCAGCTAGAACAACAATTGCAATCATAAAGTGGCAACCGCACTGGCTTCCCAGTCCAGTTGTTGTTGTTCTGTGTGATTTTTGTGTACGCGCTTCGCTTCGCAAGTTGCAACCACAATTTAATTAAGCCAACAGCAACCGCCCAGGAAGGCGATGGAGCGCGGTGGGCGGGGCTGATGGACGGCGTGCTGGTAGATTGGACAACATTAGCATTGGAAACATTGTTGTTGATGTCAGGGCAATGTGTTTACTTTCTAGCTCAGTGCACTCAAGAAATATGCTGGGTACTTGTTGATTTAACAATTTGTATAGGTGTATATTAGATAAGTCTTAAAAAAATTACTTATTTGGGATTTGAATGAATAATACATACCGTTTTAAATTTTTTGAATACATTTAAATTAAAACTTCTATGAATTTTATGTGATTTGATACTTGATAATTTTAATAATACTGTTACTTATTTTTTCCT